AATTACTTACATGCAGTGTGACTTCCAAGCTCCATGTATTGGAAGAGTCTCAGAAGTGTCTCTTTTCCTTGGGGAGGGGATCACACTTCTATTCTCCCTAGCACGATGGAACCGATTCTCACTAGCTTCAAGGGAGGACCTGCCCTTGAAGTTGCTGAGTAAACTGAGCAATAGCTACCCTTTACCCAGAAATTCACTTTGAATATGCTTTGCATACACAGTAACTGGCCATTTTAAATAATTAGTAGAGCCACCTTCCTAGTAGAATTTATAGAGAATCCAAAAATGCTAAATTTTCAGACAGAAATTTAAAATTGGGACACCTTCCTTCTTTCCCTTCAGATATTCCTCAGAGAAGGAAAGAACTGTGCTAGACAGTGGCTTTGGAGCCAGACAGGCCTGGGGCCAAATCCTGGCTCTACCACCTACTACAGGTTTATCCTTAAGTTACTCAATTTCTCAGAGCTTCAGTTTCCTCTCCTGTAAGTGAAGATAAAATCACCGACACAGTGAGGGTGTTCAAACCCAAGCTGATGGCCCATCCTTGATCTTACAGAGAGTTCTCAGGATACACAAAAGTATCAAGAAATAAATAACAAATTGGAGGTAAATCCCACCCCAACCATATTTTACGTCTCTGTGAGGTCAAATCGAATGCAGAATGATGTGCAAAAAAACGGAAAAATCAAAGTATTTTGAAAGGATTCCTACAGACCCTACAAGTCTCCAGAGTTGCTGGGATAACATGTGAGGTTTTGGTGATCAGCTCGGCAGAGTCTCTGAGAGGGCGATGCTGACTCTGGTCAGGCTTTCTAGTCTTGCTAGGGGCATAGTTAAGTTTTTGGAGGACCACCAGCCAAGGAGAGTTCCCTCACAGGCAGGCTGTGACCCCCATGGCTACCATCAGCACTGACTGCCCGCCGGGGAGCCGCAGTTTGGGTTTACGTGTGTTCGTGTTTTGCATGGAGTAAACTGAGAGCAGTCGGTCGGGTCTTTCACTTGACAGGCGTACAGAATTTCCTTGGAATGCAAGAAGATTTGAGAATCTAGTATAGTTTGATAGTAATAAAACTTTCCCAACTAATCACCATGAAGCTGAATTAAAAACCAGAACCCAGGTTCTAAAAATTGCTTTATAGCAACTCCATTTTCTGACAAGCGTCGGAGATCCGAGGATTACATCAATATTTAGATAACTCTCACTGAGGCAAACTGTATGGTCTCCTGGCCTATGATATCAAGAATTAGCTGGTCTTCAGCACGTATAGCATGATGCGAGGGGAGCGTACCTGGGTACTGACCTCCATTCTGTTCTGGCCATGAAATCAATTCTGAATTCAATCCAAGATACTAAACTATCCTCAGCCCTAAAATCTAAGGCTCTGCTTAATAAGATCGTTAAGTTGCTTCTTTCCAGAATTAAACTCAAAGTGCTCAGGTGACTGCTTCTAATTAAAGATCCTTTCATCCTCAATACTTCGTGTTGTATTTATAAATGAATTTTTAATGAATTATTACCAATAAGTGTTAACCACCATAAAACAGATGAAAATATGTGAAAAGTGTGATCTCTACAAAGAGACTTATATTTTAGTTTCAAGATACTCTCATGGGGAATATTAATTATCACTACAAAGAGCCTTGTTAATAATCGCACAATAAACTCTTCTTCAGTCCATGTCTGTTCTTATTTATAAGCATTTTACAGACTTTTGTTCATCTCCTCCCCCCCTCCTGTTTTAACCAACCTAATTCATTTGAAACAAAATTCAGACCTTACTGTTACTTTTAGTTTTAATATTTTATAAAATTGACCAGTCTTTGTAAATTCCTAGGCTGTAGGACTTTTGAAATTAATGCAGTATTTGGTGTATTATCACTGAAAGGATAGAGGAAGAAAATACTTAATATTTGTAAAATCTTGTCAAAGTATGTGGCAGACACCAGCAATGACATGGGTGGTTCTGCCTCCATTATGTACAAGAAGCCATTTTATCACTTTCCCAGATGACTCCGATTCAAAAGACTTGGGTTAGGGAAGTAAACTTCCCTTCTTATCTCTACCAATAAACAGCATGAAAAACTGGGAGAGTTCTATTATAAGACCTTCAATTACTAGCTACTTTCAAAGACCACTTTATATTGTAATGTGTGGGTTAATGAACTTTTAGCTGGTGGAAGTATGGTTATGTATGTAAAGGAAAAAAGTTTTAGGGAATTAAGAGAGTTGTACCCAAATTTATACTGAATTTTGGCTTTTTTTTTTTTCTTTCATTGGCATTTTATTAACTGGTAGAAATTCACAACATTATTCACAATTATTTCAAATTGGTTGGGAAAAGACATAAGGATGGGTATTTAGTATAAGAACCATTATGTCAATAAATGAAGGCCAAAGTCAAAGATAAAAAATAAAAATCCAGGGGGCACCTGGGTGGCTCGGTCGTTAAGTGTCTGCCTTCAGCTTGGGTCATGATCCCAGGGTCCTGGGATCGAGCCCCACATCGGGCTCCCTGCTCGGCGGGAAGCCTGCTTCTCTCTCTCCCACTCCCCCTGCTTGCGTTCCCTCTCTCGCTGTGTCTCTGTCAAATAAATAAATCTTAAAAAAATAAAAAATAAAAACCCATGTCTGTTCACTCACCCAACATGTACTGATGGGAAACCCTACTATATGTAAAGCTCTTAGGGAAGCACAAAAGGTAATAAAAAATATTTAACCCAGAGCTTGTCCTCAGGGTGCTTATGAGAAATTATCAGAATAAATCAGGTAAAAATGTTGGCTGACCATTACAAACAGAACGTCCTTGTAAGAAAGACAAATCTGATACCACAGTCAAACTTTGAATAAAGATTTCAGGGGGGAAAATCTAGGAATGTAGATAGTAACTTCTGAAGAGTGTGATTATGGAGGCCTTTTAGCTTTCTATACATTTCTATGGTTTGGAATTTTTACAAGCATGTACTAGTTTTGTAACTAGAGGAAAAATCTAGATCAAAATATACACGTTTATGAGCAAATACTGCAAGGAAACAAGTGAATATATGATATTTGTTGACTTAAGTTGGTGGCTTATGGTTGGATTTCCCTCTGTTTTAAAGTGTTTTTGTTGTTTTAACAGAATTTTAATGCTAGATTTAATTCAACAATAAAAAAAGTATATGGAAAATTTAATTTCTTTGATTTGAATAATCTGCTTTATTGTGTATTAGGAGCAGAAGGCTTGTTACCATTTTTACTTCTAGCTAAAGAGGAGGGCCGTGAAGGAAATGAAGGCATATTCTCTATTTCTCCGTGTAATATACTTTTCAAACTATCGTATGATGACCAGTCTCAACTGAAAATGGTAGAATAAATCCCTATCACTCTACTTGTAATGACATATTTCATTACCATCTATTATTAGAGTAACTCCTCTACTGTCATTAAAATGGAACATGGATTCCCTAATTTCCAAATACTTTCATACTGTTAATACACTTGTCCTGAAAAAAGAAAATTAAAACAATTCCTGGTGACATTTCAATGTGTTTAAAAGCTTCAGCATGAAAAGCGCCATCAACCTTGACCTCTGTGTTTCTAGAAGGCTCCAGCCACATTAAATCGAAATGGGACCCTTCCTGACTTTAGCTGGTCTCAGTTACATCACTGACCATTTTTCAAATTCAGTAATCTAGTTTTTAGTGTCACTTCAGGGTGAATCATTCTTTTCAGAAATGGCACAGACTGTAGTATCTCTGTAGCTTTTCCTATTTAATACAACTCAACTGTCACTTTAAGCGAAAAAATTCTGTTGGAGAATGAGAAATGTTCTGTTAGTGAAGGCTTATGTCCTTCTGGCCACGAACAAAGGCTGTTTGGCACTTGCTAACTCCATTTAAAAGTCACACTATTTTGTATAGTTAATTGTGGGTTTCTAAGTATCCTTTAAGCGCTATTAAATTCATTTACTCATTTTGCAAGATAACGGGGAGGAGGAGTCGGGAGGGAAGGCTCTCTGCGTCCAGTCCCAGGCCGCAACCCAAGCAAGGCAGGGACTGAGGCAGTGAAGAACGTCCTTATCAGCAATTCGAGTGTAAATTAAGGCCTGATCTCAAATTCCATTTTCATGGTAGTTGTGTCTATATTTGAGAATTCATTTACGTTCTTTTTGAAAATAACATAAGGACTTCTATTACCTGAAATTATGTTTATCAGAGTTCTACATAAGGACATTTTAAAGTGAAGAAATAGGTTAAGGATGTGGAACTGGATATAAACGAACAGCTACTCATACGTGCACCTGCACAGCTACTGTAATGCAGTGGAGCTCGGATATGTGTTCACAGTGCTACCGCAGGGCAGCGGAGCTCAGGTATGTGTTCACAGTGCTACCGTAGTGCAGTGGAGCTCGGGTATGTGTTCACAGTGCTGAGTGGGAGAGACTCACGGTCTTCTCTGCATGTACCTCGCATGACTCCGCACACAGAACCAGAGGGAGCAGAACAGGCCAGGAATGGGTGGAGATGCGTAGGGTTTGGCTTCACAGTGGGCTCACTGACATTTAAAATGTCTTTAGAAGCCATGACCTACGTACAGCAGCTTCCAAACTTTGGAGAGAACTGTTTTCCTTTATTTTCCAAAAAGCATCATAGCTTTATTCTTATAGACAACTAAAAATTTAAGTCAAGATCATATTTTGCTGAAGTTCTTAGTTAGAAATTACTAAGAGGAAAGATACTTTTTTTCTTAAGAGACAATTAAGGAAAAGCTTTTTGGCTCCGCAGAACAAACTGGCTCTGAAATCATGATTTTAACAAGCTGTCACCTTGAAATACCAAATTCTAGTGATATTTGGGGTGCTGAGTTACAGAGCTCATACCCCAAAGCCACACCAGTGGGTAAACTACCAAGGGCAAATTCAATTAGCCTCTCGTTAGGTGACCACAGTTTCAGCTGCATCTTTATACAACGAAGGCAAAGCTCAACAAAGAACCCATAAAATGAAATGATGCAGACCAACCTTTTATTGCACCCACAATATTTTGGTCTAGTCCTTTTCGGTTGTCATTGAGTCCTCTTTTCCTCTTCCCATTGGGTAAGGAGTTAGCCAAAGTCTTGTCATCAAAAAATGCACACACCAGCTTTCTAAACAGAAGGCTTCCTGAGCGAGTATAGTTTGACAGTATGGAGTCCAGCTGTGATTTAGGCATGAACACATCAAAGCCTTCAGCAAGTTGCACTTCTGGCTACCAAAAGAACATAAATATTTCATTAAAAGCAACATCTGAAGCATTTGACTTTTGGGCATATCACTAGCTACTGCAATGTCCATACCCTACAAACGATGTGGTTTCGGCTTTGCGCGCCAGTATTTGCAATTTATAAAACCAGTGACTGGTTCTTACAAAATAAGACGCTCTAATTCCAGCATTAAGTCTCTTCAAAAGCAACGGACAGGAGCATGCTGCAAATGCATTCTTGTCCTCACAAACAGTCAAGAGAAGGCAGATCATCACAAACTCAGGTAACTGTGGAGCTACAGGGAACTTGAGATTTCTGGGTGAAAATACCCTCATTTTTTTTTTTGAAGTGAAGGAACTAAGGTCCAAAGAGATCATAACAAAATGATTTAAAAATAATCTGAATGTACTCAGTGCGTTACACTTGACAGATTACTTTCTCCTACATGAAATAATTTCACTTCATTTGCCTAAGCACACGAATATGGGGCTACCCAGAGGCCCATGGCTCTTTTTACTCTGCCTGTGGTTTTCAGCTGTGGGACTGCATTTTTTTTTCCTCCAGTGAAAACTTATGGAAACTAACCCATAAAATAAGCAGAAAGGATGAGCAGGTGCCCCAGGCAGTTTAATTCTGCCTCTTGCCCCTATTTTGGGGAGGAGAACCTGAAGCCATGTCCCAGAGCACCCGAAAACCAACACACTTGTCCCCCCGCTTCCCCATCGGGGATTTTCTGCCTGGGAGGCTGGAGCAGAAGACCTGGAAGGTATCTTTCAACTTGGACTCTACGTAGTAGAATATGAGCTCAGACAGTAATAATAGACTGTTAGCACTCCATGGACACTTAGCTTGTCTTTTCCTCCGGCAACCCAGTGAACACTTGCATTTCCAAGCTTTTGCGAACTCCTTCCTTCCCGTGGAGGTGGCCACGCACTCTGCCACGGCTCTTAACGTGACATACTCATATGGCTGCATTTATTATACTGTATAATTATTTATTAGATTGTGGCCCTTCCTGATGCCCGCAACTCAGACTTTGTATCTCTCTCATAATCTAAACTATTAAGTCATTTACTGTTGATTATAACATAACTCTAAAATAATAACTTTAATATGAAGAAACGCAGTCGGTATACTTTCATTAGGAAAAAAAGAAAATCTCACTTAAGTAAGATGTATTATAAAAGTTGATTCTTGGATAATCATACTTACCACTTTGCAAACCCGGTGCTACTTTAGATTTTTAAAACCATATTAGAAAAGAGGATCTGGGATTAGTTTTTCTCCTGGAGAATAGGAATTATTACTTTTGTTTGTCCTAGTGCTTCTCAAAATGCCTAGCACACTATGGTCAGAGTAAAGAGGGCGTAAATGATCAGATGATGCAGGAAGTTTGGGCCCTGCCCTTGCCAAATGCTATTCTCGACTTGGATTATCCACAAAGTCATCACATTTCTCTGCTTCACTTTACCTTTCAACTTTTGGTCCCTGGATGCTTGGTAAACATCGCTCTCCGAAGAGTGCTGTCAGATTGGTTGCTGAGTTTTGGGTCATGCTGCTGGTAAAGGGTGTGTAGGGGTGTTGCTGGGAGCCAGAGGCTGTGCCCTCGTCTCCTGTCCCACACCGGGTGCTCAATGCATATTTGTTGAATGATTTGATGTGGAAATATTAGATGGAGAGAATTTTACCATCATCATCTAAGATGAAGATTCATTCATAACCAGAATTTTGCTATGCATATCAATGGCTGCATTCAGACATTATTCTAAATCTTTTGATCTCAGATTTTTGATAGGTGTTCCTATATCACTTAAAAAGCCATTAAAAAAGGAATCTCAATTTACAGAAGCAGTTGCTTTTAGCTGTATGAGGGGCTAAGGGGGTATAGAAGCTTTTAAATGTTCAGGAGTCAAAAGGGGAAGACACCAACTGCTCTCGTTCACATAACCCTGCTGAATTCTGGTACCATCAACCAGGTGCTTCAGACTCAGCCACCTGACCTGAGACTCCCAGAACCTGCCCAGGACCCACCCTGGAGGACTTGACCCTGGTTTGAGGACTACGGACCTCATCTAGCCATCCGGCGAAAATGAGCCCCTCCTTTCTTCACAGACTCAGTCTTTTCTACCGACTATACTTCCAGCACTTTCTGCACTGCATTTATTTCGTTGGGAGTTTGTGTTTCTCGTGAGAATATGCGCTCTTTTGTACTCAGATAGCCAAATGCCCAGTCACTGCCCAATAGGTATTTGTCAGAGTAAGCAAAACACTATGTAAGAATTTGTTCAAAATTCGTTCATTCAAAGATAATATTGATTTAGAGACCTTTTGGTCCAACGTAAAGGGAGCGTGTTTGAGAGTCTGCCATGCAGTGTCTCGGCGTGCCAGTCCTCCTGGGGCAGCACTCATGCTCACTCAAGGAGCAGACTGCTTGGGGAGCACTGAACTGACTGAGTCCAGACATATTTACTGTGTGTATAACTCCATCCGCAAGGAGTTTCAGGTCGGGCTCCCTAGATGAGATATAGACACAAATATCTATTATATAAAGTACAAAGCCATAAATGCTACAAGAGAGGTTCAGGGCACTAAGCAGCATTTGGCGGGTGAGGGGCGAGCAGGGTTGGGGAGGGGTCAGGACAGCATTTTATGAGGGCCTTACGGCAGAATTTAGGAGACAAGAGAGGCAGTTGGTGTTTCTAGCATTTGCTGCGACTCCTAAAACTAAATATTGGGAGGTTTCTGTGGAGCCAGGAGACTCCCTATGGGATCGTAGAGTGTCTTGATTTCTGAGACGCTCTCCTAATGCAGAAAGTGTCAGTACTTCCTGGCCCACTTTCTACTGACAGACAAATACTGTTGTTTTGAAGTGTTCTTACCAGATCAATGAACATGAACTCGCCCAGTTATGAACCTCTTACAAAGGAGTCGGTTTTAGGACTTGAGGCAATAGCAGCAAGAGCAAAGGTGACTCATATTTGCCCCCTTCCTGCTCTCCAGGCCCTTTCTCTTACGCAGATTTCTTAGTTCCTCCTAGCGCAGCGCTAATGCTCTGTCTACAAGGTGCCACAAAGCAACAAACTAATTCCTTAGAAACAAAAAGAGGGTCGCTTTATTTTCTGAAACACAGAGAAAACTAATCTCAGATTTTCACTCTGAAACCTTCAGATTTCCTCCATTTTATAAATAAAATCACCGTGCATTACTACCATGTAATGAGCTATAATCTGCACGTATATTTAAAAACAGGTTAAAACTCCAATTGTATCATTGAATCTCTTTTTGTTTACTAGTGCTAGTTTAAATGAGCTCTCTCTGCTTACTAAGGATACCGGTGATAGAAACCACACTATTCCAAATGAATATCATTTTACAAACCAGACTTTGACAGCATCACTCTCAGCTCTTCAAGGAAAGATCGCTAATACACTGACAGATTCTATTGTTTACTGAGGTAGTTCAATTTTAAAGGACGACATCCAAAGTGTGGGGCGGAATTTACGACACTTAGAGTCCTCATCTTAGGAGTTAAGAGTCTGAATTTGTGCTATAAATTTGGATTTTCATGAAGGTCTTGCCCATTTTCGGAACTGCAGCTACTTAGCACCAGAGTATATCAAAAGTTGAATTTTCCTTATGCAGTGGCATCATGTCTTACACCCAGGGAAGTTCTGGAGGCAAAAACCACGTGTAGCCATATGACCCTTAAAAATGTTCACGGACTCAGGCCTGTGGGCATTAACTCTCCTGTTCCCCTTTGCATTTGAGTCAAGGCCTTCCTTTGCTTAGTAGAAGCTGGGGTCAAGATCTAGTATGGGTGGGGAAATCCCCTAACCAGGTGAATTAAAAGATTTCCCCCTCAGTCCCTATGAGCAAGCGTATCATTTGATTCCCTGTATAATCTAAAGAAAAACATGTAAAACAATTTTAAAGAGATCATATTAATCACAGAGGGAACAAATCTGATAGAGGCTATTTTCCAGAAGGTACTATCAATGCCAAATTATAGTAAAACATGTAAATAGCTAAATGTGGTCCCTGGTTAAAAGAGTAAAAAAAAAACTGCATGAATATTTATGCTGGAATTAACCTCAGATTTTCAATTGCAAATTAATAAATTACACACAATAGTTGGTATACTCCACTGGCTAGCTAGTTGGCTCAAGAAAAAAACCATGGATGAAGAGGCAGGATTCTGTGGAATAAGACTAACTGATTTGGGGCTGAAAACACATAACAGAATTTTAAAGATTGTTTAAAGACTATGAATTTAGTCTTTCTGCTCCTAACACTTTCATATACAGTGATACTTTATTCTCATTTAGTATTTATTTTGCAGTATGTTAGATGTGTTTCTAGGAAAATGAGCTTTAGTTTATGAAAAGAAATTTTAAAAAAACCACAAAACCCCCCCACAATGGATTTTATTTTGCTCACAAATGTGCTCTTGGTTCTGTTTGGGAAGAACTGAAATCATTTCCTATAACTCAAGTCTGTTCCAGGTAAATATAGCAAGAACCACTATTACTATTTATTAAATGCAATGCCATAATCATGGCCAGGGATGTGGGTACTCATATGAATATACCAGATCGCAAGGCAGGCCTGCTGTAGCGGGTCTTGCTGGGAGCTGAGAATCTCAGTGTCGATGGGGCAGAGTCTCCACCCTGGATGTACTATATCAAGACTCGATTGTTTTGTTTTTGTTTTTGTTTTTTAAAGATTTTATTTATTTATTTGAGATAGAGAGCATGAGCAGGGGGAGCAGTAGAGGGAGAGGGAGAAGCAGCCTCCCGCCTGAGCAGGGAGCCCAATGTGGGGCTCGATCCCAGGACCCGGAGATCATGACCGGAAGCCAAAGGCAGATGCTTAACCGACTGAGCCACCCAGGCGCCCCCATCAAGACTCGATTATAAGGTGGATGTTCTGTAGTAAGTAAAAAATGCTTGGGCAAAAGTTCTATCACAGTCTATATACTAGCATATATTTAAGGTTGAATTGGATA